GAATCTGATGGGATTCTGCGATATGTAACTAAGAAAAATATGTTTGCTAGAGAAACCAGTTAAGAAACTGGCCTGCTTTCGAAGGTGACATGGGCTGAGTCGCACATCAGCACCAAAGAAGCGAAATATTTTGATGATTAGGACGTATAGATTACCCATTTTAATTAATGTTTTGAGTAGACTAGCAGAAGAAGATTTAGTAATCATAGAAGGAATATTACGTAATGATAATCTGGTCGTGTCGTGAATAACCAGTACTTTAATTAAAGGACCAATACAGAAACAACCAAATAAATCTCAGCACATCATGGAATACCCCGAGCGAGACCCCGAGTGTCCGGAGACCCTCGTGATATTAAAATTTAAAATATTGAGAAAAATATATAAGTATTTATTGGTATGTATGGTTTATATTTGTTTAATTCAAATCTCTAAAGCTGTTTGTATCGTTTTGTGTATTTTTATACTTCTTGTTACCTACAATGATGGTATTTAAAACGGGATGTTTTCCATTTTACTAAGCGCGATCTATGATACAAAACTATTCGCATTTCCGAACCGTATGATAAAAAGCAACAAGTTTTTCTTTTTGGCGGAAAATTGGTGGAAAAGAGTCTTGCATTTCCGACTACCACAATACTATTTAGAAACTCAAACTGGAACTAGTAATACAACTAAATCTTACCCTCATTATGGGCCTCAAGATACTACAACCAATATTTTATAAAAAGGTAGGTACAAGGCGACTATATTATTAGAAAAAACGAAATCGAAGCGTAACACGATAAGCAAAGGCACGTATTATGTTCAATATCACAGGTCAGTACCACACAAAACTCACAAAACAACAAAAAATTGGTACCTACTCGATACCGCCCTGGTCAGTGATCCTCGCAATTGAAACAAATTTTATGACGAACTTTACTGTTTTCCCGCTTATCTAAGTGGCATTTTGACCTAAAGGTCAATATTTTTATCTCGAACAAATAACTCTCATTACTACACGCCGACAAGAAATTACATTTCCGGTGGACCAGCGCCACTGGCATACACAATTTATTGTTATCCAAAGGCGCCCGAGTATACCAGATCCTCTATTCACATTCAGATCTCTACTCCACTACTAGGTAATAGTAGTGTCGTCTAAGACCTTCCCCGAAAACTACATGTACGATCACCGTATCGCCAATAAAAAAGGAATGTGGGATATAACACTAATTACGATAATTGACGGTCGCAGGGCGTCCACTTTCTTTCACGTTATACTTTTTTAAAGGTGCTCGATGACCTTGCAAGGTTGGATGGTTCAAAATCCTGTTAGGAATTTCCTCGCATCGAACTGTAATTACAATTAAATTATTCCTCCTTCATATAGATTTTTAATGTAGCGCAAGGTGCCACAATTATTAATCGCGTACAATTAGTCGGTCGTAACGCCTGGTTGGGCAGTAAAACCCGATTAATTGCGACCTGCATGGTTTTTATATTAATGAAACAAGAATTGGGTCATAATTTAAATTTTTTAATTTTGCAATACTCGAAACTGTCGGTAAACTAACCTCAAGCAGTCTTCATGATGTCTCGAAATGGAACATTTAGATTTTTGTTTGTTTGTGCAGAACTATACATATACACAGGGTGATTCCTATAGTACCTGCCACCGTTTGGGAGCGTATAGGGGGTGCCTAGGGGAGTATTTTGATATAGGACACTTGGGGTCGGAAATCTAAAATAAGGGCGCCAGAACCAAATTTATCTTCTGGAATTTCACGCCTGTATGTAGGCAACCCAACCGACCGACGTTTCGCGCGGAGCGATGCAGAGCGAGTTAGCGCGAGGAAGCGACATGGGAGGGAAGGAGGGAAAACGACAGTCAAAAGCAATAACGTTTACAAGTGTTCAACGTGGCCACCGTTGTTCTTCCTACATCTAGCCAACTATTATTATACTATTGCCATAGTGTTTATTCACTTGATACGCGTCGTTGCAGACGGGATTTCGTGGGTTTAAACAAAATTCTGATCAAGTGTCAGCCACACATCGCCGCCTGAGATCGCTCCGTGTGCACCGCCGGCCGGTTGGGTTGCCTACCTACAGGCGCGAAATTCCAGAAGGTAAATTTGGCTCTGGCACCCTTATTTTAGATTTCCGACCCCAAGTGTCCTATATCAAAATACTCCCCTACGCACCACCTACACGCTCCCAAACGGTGGCAGGTACTATAGGAATCACCCTGTATATATAAATTTACACTACCTTATTAAAAAATTACAATCAACAGATCCGTTTTTTCGAACACGCCTCCATTTAATTACTACTGATTTTATACATTACTTCTGGAACACAGTGTATAACGATTACATAACAATATCAATAAGATACAAAGTCATATCAAACAAGTTGTAAATCAGCATATGCATGATTAAAGCGCATTTTTGGTAATACAGGTCCAGTATTTTATTAGCGAAGTTTAAAATTATTGATCTCACGAGTAATTTTGGCTGCGTTAAATAATTAATTTTATTTAATTTCAATTGAGGGTAGGTCTTTAGTTTATAAAACAAATGACAAAGTAAATAATTAAGTTTTTATACTGGTAGCGCTATCTAACGGTAAAATTATAGCACCTACGAAAACCATATCGAAATTATTTTCTTAAACTATCGATCTTACAAGTAATCTAACTCAAAATAGACTAGAGCCTGTACATCTACACTATAGCAGAAAGCTTTTAGTGATAATTTGAAGTCTCTAGCTATTATAGTTGCTGAGATCTCACCCGACAGCCGGCCAGCCAGCCATAACGAATATAACAGCGTATTTTTTCAAAAATGCGTTATAAATTATATTGCAGTCTGGAGAAATCGTCGATAGTCTATGGAACTAGTTAGCAGCGACTTAGCAGTCAATGGAATTCCTGGGCAGCCAACGTAATTCATGTGCAGAATGAGGCAGTCACTAGAAGTACCTAGAATTCACATGTCGTCCTTAGAAGACTTTGGAAATTGTAGAAAAATTGGGATTTTGGCAGTTTCCACAGTGACACAATCTCGGACACACCGCTCAACTAACAATACTACGAAGATACCTTAGTTATAAGTGTCGAAAATGGGACACCTATTTTGAAAGTGTCCCCCCAATCGAATTTCACTACAGTGGAATCCCGGTAATTCGAGTTGGGTGGGACTGAAGGTATATCGGATTGTGGCTGTCGAGCATTACGTATAATGAATACTTACCACTCTCTCTACATTTAAGACCGAGTTTAAGACTGTCTAAAACAAAACCAAAGACAAAATTTTCCTCCTTTGCTAAACCTAAGCAGTAAGTGATATGTCATAGTAAAAAATACTTTTCCCTCGACTTTTCTGTTTAAGAGTAGGTTACAGAACTCTGTTAAAGTTACGTAACGAATGGCGGTTATTGGTGACGGATCTGATAGGTATGTACATCATAAGACTTTGATATTTTTTGTTTGTAAAATAATAGTAAGAGCTCGGGTAAGAGTAAGTGTATTTACTATTATTGCAACTAGTGTTCATATCAAAATTAAGTTGTTTATTTTGTTTACACTAAAACTATTACTTCAATGGGATTAAGTCAAGTTCAGGTACAACTGCCTCCCGGTCCCAGACAACATTCGGCTGGTGAGTCCAAAACATTAAGCAATACTTTTTCTGATACCTATTTACACAATGATCATTTACACATTATTATCACGTTCTAATGGTTTGAGGAAAAATAAGGAAAATGGTATCACAATGCAACAAAGTAAAGTTGAACCTCAGGCTACTTACTCTATTTACAAACACTGATGCTAATGTAAATAACATTTTCCTGTATAAAAACCACAATTATCCAGGATATTACATATCGAGTTAATGATGTTACATTACAAAAAGAAATACAAGGCCATCTTAATCAATGATGAGTGGATATGCAAATCCCAACCTGCAAAAAGACCACAATGCAACCGAACTTCAACACCTAAACTGCAGTCACCAATAGAAATAAAACCTAATTAATTTATTGGTCCCCGGTCAAGATAGCTGGCATTTTACAGTCTATCTGTCTAGACAATGCATTAAATTTACTCCTTTATTACAAGAATGCATTTACATCCACCGCCACTCTCTTACCCGATACCTAAATTTAAAAATCCTTTTCATTATTCGAAGATCATCGGTTATAAAATAAATTTATATTTATACATTCCACTACAGCTGTTTAACACCGGCTAAGTGATGCAGGATTTTTTTTGGTGATCGATCTCGGAGTATGTACTTCCGTATATTGGGAAAATAAAATGAAGAAAACTGTAATCTAAATTTAAACCCGGGGGGAATACGTCAAAGCTGGTCGAAGCATTTCATTAATCCCAAGTTTCTCGCCAATACTGATTTATACATTCGGAGTCTATTTTAAAATTTCAATTGCTTATTAGTACAAAGTTATATATAGAAAACTCTTACAAATGCCTCCACTTTTTTTCTTGTTTTATGTGAATGCAAAGATGACATAAGCCTCGTAAATTGTATCGAAAATATGTTTTGACCTAGATGATCACGATTTAATCGCAAACTAATTAGATGTAACGAGGGAATTAGATAGTGTAAATTCGTTATGCCAGCTCTATCTTATCATTATACAAACAGGTTACCATGACCACTGCACCGTGATTCTTAGTTAGAGAGTCGTGCGAATGCCACTTTGCTACGAATTTTGGATCTCGGTAATTTGAATTTGATCACAATCACAGACTGTTATTAATTAGAGGCCATTGACATTACTGATGACAGCTGTTAAATAATGTGGGAGTAACAAAGGTATTATCATCCAAGAGGCTAATTAGATAACAATTAAAGGAGACAACTTTTAATTACTCAGCTGATGGAGCCATATTGTTGGTGTGGATTTAATTTAAATTGGAACATCGCTACAGGTGCGCCCTTTTAGAAAAAGGCGTCCATTCCTAAAATTCTCGGAAATTAGGTAGTTACCTGATGTAATGCCGTCAGGCCGTCGACGTTCGCCGTGTCGATATCGGCCCCCTTTTCGATTAGGCGTAGCACTTCTTCCTTGTCACCCGCGGCACACGCTGCCAGAAATACACAACCGGACGAGAATTTCACTTTTTTAGGTTTTTGCTTTGGCGTTATCGACTCGCGATTCGTATCCGATTCTTCCCAACGCTTTAATTGTTCTGCCCTTTTAAAAAGGGCCGAACTGGAGCGAGTCTCTATGGACATGTTATTTAATACCACTAGCACTCCCAAACTACCATTACGTCTCTTTTACTTAAAGATTCACTCATTGACGTATAGAGGTTACAATTATCGTACGCCGGTGGCGCCATCTCAAAGGGCAGCTTTATGAGATAGGGTTTATGGCGCGAATATAAGCAAGTAAATCTTCTTTTGTGGATGCAAGTAAATTATTTCAGCAACAGCTGCATTAATTATAATTACTATTCCCTGCACAAAAATAGTACATTAGTCCCATCAGCGCGAGCGCATTATACACGGCCGAGGTGGAATGTGATACAGGCTGTTCCGCACGAAAAGCGGGCATGAACCATATGACAATCAGCGCTGCGATGTATCACTAACGTTAAACTTAAGGTAACTTGCACGTTAAGTTTCTAATAAGTACATCACAGGGCTGTTAATTGTTTTTTTAAATTTTTCCATACCTATTCAGCTATCATCAACGGTCCTTTGCGCTCTCTGCTTCTCTCTGTCAGCAGCTCTTCTCTTCATAATCGCATACCCTTCTCTTCCTTGCCTGAGTTCTCCTCAACACTTCCATTCAACACCTCTCTCAACAAACAGTCTTTCCTTAACACAATACACAAGTCTTTGTTTCTGCTATGGTATTCAGAAACCCAATATGTTATTTGCGGTCACGATTCCAGTGCCAGCTTGGGGGACATCCAGGATTATTACATATTTTCACACCATATCCCTTCTCGCATGTTGTCGTATACATACATGGTGTAGAAACGGTTTACGCACCATATGGTTTTCAATGGTAATTTCTTTATATTGAAATATTTTCTCCCCTAATTATTTTACAGCAAAGTTGTAAATAAATTTTTTGTAGATTGTAAAATTTTGTGTCTATTCATCTGCTCATTTGTAATTTTTTGTTGTGGAAAATCGGAGAAATTAAGGAAATTATAAATTATAATTATAAATCTAATTTTTACTAAAATATCACTCGCGCCGTGAAATTATTGGAATAAAAATTCGAGTTTTACGCAAATACTAAATTCTAGTTTAGTTATTCTCTCCGGTTCCCAGAATAGATTAATAATCAATGAGGGCATGAGCATCAAACGCAAAATTTTTCAAGTTACATACAAGAAACCTATTTACAATTTTGATATAAATTAATTAGGGGAGCATTAAGAAAAGATTTCGATTTAATACTTTTGATTCTCAGTAGCAATCGACCCATATGAATGACACGAATGAAAATGCCGAATTTTGCGCATATGAAAAAGAAAGAACATATTACGCACACAAGGCGATATCAGGGAAACCTTCTTCGGGACAAAAACCCCCGATGTAGCCACACAAATATGTACATTAAATTTTAAATAAATCAACTACGACAACAACATACAAGAGAAAATACACAAATAAAACATTTCAAATTGTACATAATTAGGTAATCGAATCAAATGCAGTTCAACAAATGCGTAAAACTACACACAGGAAACATAAATGCCAGAGGAAAACGTGATACAACAAGTTAGTACAAAAACACATATTAAATCACATACACGATCAATTGTGATTAAAAAAACAAATGGCGTGGCTCTACTCCAGCCTCGGTTACCATAATTTAAGATGAAAAGTAGTAAAGTAGAGGATCCCCTTCTCGTATAGCTTACGCACAGTCCGGCAGCGGGTCACGAGTAAAAGAGTAACAGATACAACGAAGAATTGGTCTGTATCAGATACTTGCTTTGCTGAATATAGTTAAATCGTGAATATGTTGGAGCAACCAATGAAAAGATTTCCTAAAAAACATGTTTTAATAAACAAATCTAAGGATTTAAAATGCAATTATGTAACCAGCAACAAGAAATACTTAAAAATCATCTGTTAAGGCATGAAACACATGGTTTACAATGTGACCAGTGTGATTAAACAATAAATAACAAGCCTGACCTTAAAATTAATCTTTTAACACAGCTCAGGACTTAAAATGTAACAAGAGCAAATATACAACCAACAATAAAGACACATATGTTAACGCATGAAACACGTTTTAAAATGTGTGCAGTGTGATTATATTAAAAATAACAAATATTCCCTTAAAAGTCAACAAAGCTAAGGATTTATAATGTAATTATGCAACTAACATTAATGAAAAATTTATGTAAAATGCAATTATTGCACAATCTAAAATAATGGTTGGACTGAAAGGTCCCTGTAAACGATATGTCTTTATCGCTGTATATTTTTCTCATTCTTTCAAACGCTATTTAAAAGAATGCTTTAATATTTCCTTTGAAATAAGGACTAAACGTGAGCCTGTTTATATGACCTAGGCTTTCAATGTAGGTATTCGATATGCTCATAACAAAACCTTTGATTCCGTTCATTTCGTGTTTCCTAATTGCATTTTTTTCACTATTGATATAATTGCTCTTTCTGCTGTCGAGTATATGTTCTCATCGACAATGACATCATCAGTTCATCACAGTGTAAACATTCGTCTGCTTGGAATTCTTCAAAGAGGGCTAGCTGCTACATGTGAGAAAGCTGTCCTGGATTTTTTTGACTGGCCCAAAACAGATTCTGCTTCTAATAATATTTATTGTCGGATATTCAAAATATGAATAATTCACATTGTCATTTTAACTGTATAACAATACACATAATATGATTAGGAGTTAGGGCCAACACAAACAATTAGCACAGATCTACACATACAACAGATTGCTAATTTTATGGGAAACACATTTAGGTATACTTAAAAGCGCCCTCTATTGAGCAGCGGATAATGCACGCTTAGCGAAGTGACAGACGGAAAACGCCAAACGTCAAGTAGCGGAAAAACCGTTTTTAGTTTTTTTTTTTTTAGTTTTGCGCGCAAGCAACAAATTAACTAGACCGAAACAAATCCCAAAATAAATTCACTGTTAACGGAGGAATTACTACCGATTACAAATAGAAAATGTCTAAAACTAAAAACGATTTTTCCGCTACTTGACGTTTGGCGTTTTCCGCCTGTCACTTCACTAAGCGTGCATTATCTGCTGCTCAATAGGGGGCGCTTTTAAGTATACCTAAATGTGTTTCCCATAAAATCTTAGACCATATAGTACATGCTAAGTGTTTCTCTTCGCCGTACTTGGAACTCGCTAAGTCTGTGCTCTGTTGCGGCTTTTCTACTTGCATCCCCTATCGCATTAGGTTCTTGTATATTAATCTTTGCTCATTCCTCTACTACTCCAGCTTCTACCTCTAACTTCCCTCGTCTAGATGATGACGTCGAAGATAATTTGGAATTAAAGAACTCTTACTTCTGTTGAGCAAACTTTGCTCCTTGACTTTCGTGCAATTCATCTGCACTGCATCATTTTTTGCAGATACTCTGCTTCTTTTCTGCTATTAGGTATTTGACTGCTTCGCCTGGTTCGTCGTAGCCTGTTCTTGCATTGGTTCATTCTGATGTTCTGTATGATGGCAATATGTCCTTCTCAAGTGCAAGTTTACTGCCTTGCCTTGGCTTTTGAAGATTCACGATGAAATAATTGTTATTGTGTGTATACATTTACAAATCATGTAAACCAACCAACCACTAAAAATCAAATAAACTCCACTCAAGCAATTTTCGATTTGCGGTCATACAGTACAATCTGATTGACGCGGGAATATTTCAAACGGTATATCCGGTGGGGTTCACCAACACCAATACTACTAAATGGTAAATATGTCTTGAAAGTGAAGTGAGAAATTCGCCGATTTCAAATCACGGAGTCAAATCAATTAAATTTATTGCAATTTAGCAATAATTTAGGTTTAATTTCTTGGTTTTTAATCAAATCAATAACGTTTGACGTTGTTGCGCAGCTGCGAAGTCACAACCACATCCGGTTAATAGAAGCTTGTTTGTCGTGTTGGTGTCGGTTTTCTCTGATTGCGTTGGCGTGCTAAGCGAATTTTTTTTAATTGTACTGCATGAATTGTATCGTTGAACTAGAAAATAGTGTGTAATTCCTGTGGGAACATTGCCGAAGATACGTTTAGGTATAATCTTATAAATTGCGGTCGAGGTAAGCGTATTTCCTTCCAAAACGTCTTTTCGCTGGTTTGGTTAGCTCTCCAAGCGCTTCCTCCCGTTTACCTAAAAAAAATGGAGGTATTCATTTATGTTTTTATTTCAGTGGGACCACCATGAGTTACTACCGACCAAGGTAAACAATTTTTTTATTATTTATTTAGGACACTATGTCCTATTTGTGTGCTTTAATCTAATCAAGTTTTTTTTTTGACACTAACACTTGACCAAAATTATGATTGATACACATTTAGTTTCAGTCAAGCTGTCGCTATGACCCGCGGTCGCGGATTTTCTTCGTCCTATCGCGGATCCGGTCGTTCGTCGTGGGGCGGACCGTCCGATAGAGGACGCGGAGGATACGGGTCGAGTAGAGGCAGATTTCCGCCGTATTCCAGCACTATAGAGTCGAGGTCGAAGTATTCAACTTCTGGCGATCGTTATACGAGTTCGTCTAGAGGTTATGATGATTACCACAAATCATACCGCGGGGTAAATATATGTTTTCATTCCTTAAAGTACTCAAAGCGGGAACGAGAGTGATGTTTGAACTGAAAGGAGACTGAGAGACACTGCTCTTGAGCTCGCGGAATAAAAGAGATTTAATGAAATTGTTTCTTAGTCCCAGTGTTATCTGTTGTATTTATGTAAGTACAATGGACGTCATGTGGGACGTAAAGTAAAAGACTCCTTTTTGAATCTTGCAATTTGTGTAAAAATTGCAGGCCTTCCCTGGGAGTAACACGAAAGTTTCATACTGCAAATTGTGCTGTATTTTTATTTTTTTACTTCAAATGACATGAGTATATGATTGAAAGTAGATGTAGGTCATACAATAAAAAATACTGATTGAATATTTTATAAATGGCCACCCACCCTTTCTGGCGTTCTAGCATTTGCAAATACATTCTTTTTGTGAAGGAATATGTTTTAATGGGTGTTGAGAAAAATTTAAATTGAATTAAAACTTGAGTTCATTTTTAGCCCCCTTTTTATAATAGGTGTTTTGGCGCAAAATTTCACACCATTGCCTACCCC